CTAACAGCAGGTATGACCTGCTTCATTAGGGACTCCTAGCTGGTACCTGGGAGGACCCACTTTGTTAGGGACACAGCTAGTACCATGTAAGACCCAATATATTATGGACACCTAGCTAGTAATAAATAGGACCCGTTTTTGCCTCCAGAACTGCTTCACGGGTAGAGGAGCTATGTAATTTAACAAATTTAATTATTTCCACAATTTAAAAAAACGTTTTTTCCCATCTGCAATGTAGAACAGAAACCATTGTTAAGGACATGTCTGTGCTTTTCCTAACTGCCAAAAGCCGACCATTGTTGTAAGGCTCGAGGACGAATGGGGTTAGCCTTTAGGGCAGCGCTGTTTATTTTGCTGAACACTGGCCCTGAGGAGAGGTGGATGTAGGAGATGGGTGGATGGGTCATTTTATTAATTGTAGATTTAGAGCTTTTTTGGTTTTTGATATGCAGCGCACTTGTAAAATGGAAATAAAAATATGACGTATTACATGCATATGTATATATCTTTTTATTAATAGATGTTTATTTCACATGTATTGTGATAAATGGGAGTGGGTATAAACCCATGACATTTGGTGATGGGTAGAGGGGTAGGGCTGTTAAAATGTGAGACATGCAGAGAGATCAGGTCAGAGGGAGCAGCAGGGAGAGGGACTGTCCTCACACAATTATCTTGGTAAACTCCAAGAGGTCACCGTGTAGTTTACAGTGATACATCTGCTGGACCTGATGAAGATCTGACAGCAAGAGTGATGGTGGGGGGGCGCAAAGCATGATGGGATTGGCGCTGACCAGGAGTGGAACAGACATCACAGATGGTATATTATAGTGCAGCAATGGGAAATCTGGTGCCTGGTAAAATAATTATACCCTAATATTACGAAATGTTTAGAAGCCTGCCTCATTTATGGATCTCCTAATCATTTGTTTACATCTGGGATGGCCAGAGCTTTAAAAAATATTGCCGCTAATTGGTTAAAATACAGTAAAACTTTGTAAAATAAACTGATAAAATAACACCAGTGGTTTCATGTTAGTTTTATGATGCATATTTTTTATTTTCTTTTATAAGAAATAGCCTTGCAACATGTTCATTTTTGCAGGAAAATCCTACCAGACATCCCTCCCATAAAAACAGAACTGAAATATAGGATGAGCTTGGAGGTGGGCGGGACCCTGCCAGCCAATCACTGAAGAGCTGTCCAGCACGCCACTTGCACCGGTTTGTG